TTCTGTTTTTTTTGGGGGTATGCTTAAGTGCGTTTCGCCAAAATTCGCCTGCAGGAGGATATGTCCGACCTAACCCTAGCCCAGAGGAGGGGTGGGAAAGAGCGGGAGGGGGAGAGGATCCCAGGCGAACTTTCTCCCCCAGTCCCTGAGTTCCGCCCGGAAAGCTTGGCCGCTCAGAACATGGGAGGGGCTCTGGGATACCCAAAGTGGCTATTCGTGGGCACCCCCTATCGAGGGGTTGGGCCCCGAATTCGTGGTCCACTCGAAAAGCCCACGTAGCCCTGGATGGGTGGTGACATATCCACTGCTACGCGAGGTGGAGAGGAAAGAGAGAGGGAGGGCTCCTGGGGTGAGCTCAGGGGCGCTTTGGGGGGCTCGATGTGGCGTCTCCCCCTTCTCTTCCCACCTCCCTGCTCCCCTCATGTATATAGTCTTAGGTCGGACGTGTCCCTCTACAGAAGGACTATTCAAAGATAGACCACAAAATACTCTGGGGACTATTTAAAGTATGTTTGAATGTTTTCCACGGCATTCCAAACAAATCCGCCTGTAGTCTGACACGCCCGACCTAAATATATTCTCAGACATCCGATGATGTGTTCTATCAGTCCTCGGACCTCAGAGCTCCCGACCCTTTCCCCCAGGCTTTTCTCATCTCAGATCCACTTCCGGTGCCCCCCGAACACGACTCCTCCCAAACCACAAACCAGGACTGAAGAGCTAGATGAGCCCAGATCTCTACGTTTCCCCTCCGGTCTGACACACAACACCAAGGCCTGTGAAATGCATACAGTCCTGATCGGACTATGTAGACATAGATGTGTATGATGCAGGTATGGAGGGTTATAACGAAGGCCTCACGGCTTGTTTCGCCGACCCTGAGAGGTGAACAGCGAGGGCGCGGCAGGCGTAACACGGTCAAGGCACGGACGAAAGTCCAGTGGTCCTCGGCCCATTCCGCCGCTGCGTGTGGAGCGTGCTTCGGAGGCCTTGGGAATGTGCGTTAGCACTCTGGGAAGGTCCGGGCCCAGAGTCCCACCTCGGGCCCCGGGAAGACGACGGTCCCCCCCTCAGAAACAGACCTCCAGACCCTTCGTAGGGAGTCTTCTGGTCCAGAATTCCGAGGGGACCCAGACGTGGCGACGAGAGTCCTTCCAGAGGCACGGCAAAACCACGAAGGCTTCCCTCCTCAACCTTGGTCCTCGCTCCTCGAACTTCCTCCCTCCTCCCCCCACCCCGTGCGTCCTCCTGTCCGCCCCCAGCCTCCGCCCGACGCACCCCGTGACTCCCGCTCCCTCCCCCCCCCCCGAGCGGGCGAGCGGCCGAGCGCGCCCCCCCCCTCCGAGCAGGTGGGAGCAGCAGCAGCAGCAGCAAGAGCGAGGAAGCCGAGTGCGTCATCAGCGACTCCGACGACGGGCCTCCGCCGCCGCCGCCCGCTGCACCGGTCCAGGCCTCCTGGACGGGGTCGGAGCGGGCGGGGTCGGAGGATCGCGCCGCATCGCCGGGGCATCGGCGAGGCATCGGCGAGATGCATCGGCGATGGCTCTGCTCGGCTTGTGCAGTGGCGACCCTGCATCGGCGATGACTCTGCGTCAGTGATGTGCAGCCCGACTTGCTTCGCGCCGACAGCGCCGATGCATCGCCGACGTCGCCGATGCATCCTCGATGCATCGCCGATGCGGCGCGATCCTTCGACCCAACCTACTCGGACCCCATCCAGGAGGCCCCTACTTGGGAGCTCGAGGCTCGAGGTCCGAGGGGGCGGAGGTGCGGCGAGGCCGTGGGGCTCTGGAGTTCTCGGGCGCGGGCGTCCGTTCCTGCGGGCTGCCCTGCCCCGGGGTAGCTGCGCCTCGCCGAGGGCGTTCCGGGGGTGTTCGGATCGTCTCGAACGGCCGCCAGAGACCAGAGCTTTGGCCTTGCAGCGCAGCAGTCGACATTTTTTCGTGCCTCCGATGGGGGCCTCCCGTCGCCCCGTCCGCGTGCCCCCTCGAGGTCTTCGTGGGCACGCGCGCCGCGAGGGGTCCAGCTGGAGGCCGATTTCAGGAGGGGGCCTTCGCTGTCGTTCCCAGAGCCGCGGGTCGTGCCCTTGTAGGAAGCCCCGCTTCGGGCGACCCAGGGCAGTCCAGAGTCGATCCCGATGAGTGACGGCCCGGACAATGGGGGTCGCCAGAGGTGTTCCTGGCCGAATGTGTTCCAGCTTTGCGCGCCAACTCGGAACCCCTGGGACCCCCAGGGCCCAAGAGCCTCGTGGGGGGGTGCTATGGGCGCCGCGTGGGCCTCGCAAGAAATCCCGGGGACATCTTGGGCCACGTCTTCTGCCCAACCAGCCTGTGGTGTTGGCTCTTCGTTTCGATGAGCGCCGCGCCCCGCGTCCTCATCATCTCCTCTTCCTCCTCCTCCTCCTCCTTCTCCTCCTCCTCCTCCTCGTCCCCCTTCTCCCCCTTCTCCTCCTCCTCCTCCTCCTCCTCCTCCTCCTCTTCCACCCCCGCTCACGGTCTACAGCGACTACCAGAACCTTCTGGACGGGGTCTCGGCCGGTGTTTGCCCTTGCTGCGCGGCCAGCAACGCAGAGTTGTGGAGGGGGATCTGGCGGCTCATCCATGGCATCGGCACCCGCCAGGTCCACATCTGGAAGGTAAAGGCGCCCCAGGCCATCTCGAGGCTGGCTCACGGTACCGTCGAGAGGCGGCTCGCCCTAGGCAACCGGGCGGTTGACGAGGAGGCCGAGCTTTGCGCCCAGTGCCACCCCAGGAGTTGGCCTTACCAGGTAGAGAGGTTCAAGCAGCAGGCGCAGGCAGTCCGCAAGATAGCGGGCTGGATTGGGCAGGCGAGCGCGGCGGCGAACACCGAGCCGAGAGACTCCACGTGCAAACAGTTGGTCACCCGGGCGAATAGGCACGAGGAGCTGGAGAGCAAGGTGCTACCGCGTAGGCCCAAGAGGCCTTCAGCCCCACGCGGCCCCTCAGAGAAGGGCTGGAGGCTGGCTCGCAGGGCGGTGCCGACGGTCAGCGGTCAGCGTCGACGAGAGCGGATGGAGTTAGAGCAAACGTTCCCTCGGCAGAAGCCCTGCTCCCTCCCCTGCCTCGGATACGGTCTGCAGCGAGGGTGGACGCCAACGAGGCGGGCCATGGATATGCAGCCTGAGTGGGCGTTGGGCTTCAGTTGGACACGCGGGCAGCACCGGCCAGTTTCAATCGAATGGGGTCGGTTTCGGCGGCGCCGAGGCCGCCGCCGTCGGCGAAGGCAACACCGACCCGGTTCAGTCGAAGGGGGTCGGTTTCGGCGGCGCTCGTCAGCGAGAAGGGGCACGGGGACGAGCGCCCGTCGAGCGGCAGCCACGCGCCCCCCAGCCAGCAGGCGCGCCCGCACTCCTGGCAGCAGCAGCAGCAGCACGTGCAGCTATTCGTGATGCCCGCAGCGAGGGTAAGCATGATAGCAGCGAGGAGGAGCGGCGTGGCAAGCGGCAGCGCACCAACGCAGCAGCAGGTGAGTTGGGCGCCCTCGACAGCGACGACGAGTCTCTGGCCAAAGCCGCGCCGCCTCAGGCACACGCTGATCCGAGGCCTGCCCTTCCTCCTCCTCCCTCCTCCTCCTCCTCTTCCTCCTCCTCCTCCTCCTCCTGCTCCTCATTCTCCTTCGCCTTGCCCAGCTCGACGATCGAGGAGCGCCTCCTCGACGGTGAGGGGCAACGATAGGAGGGCGACTGGCTCGTGGGGGGGGCACAGTCGGACCTGGGCCAGAAGAGTGTCCCTTCTCATCCTCCTCCTCCTCCTCCTCCTCCCCCTCCTCCTCCTCCTCCTCCTCCTCCCTCCTCCTCCTCCTCCCTCCTCCTCCTCCTCCTCCTCCTCCTCCTCCATCGGTGTTCGCTCCAGCAGCCCCTCGATCCTTCAGGCTCGATCCTCCACGCCTTGATCCTCGCAGCCTTGTCGTCGCCTTGGTAGTGGTGGTGGTTGTGGTCGTGGTCGTGGTCGTGGTGGTGGTGGTGGTGGTGGTGGTGGTGGTGGTGGTGGTGGTGGTGGTGGTGGTGGTAGTGGCCGTTGTCGTCGTCGTGGTCGTCGTCGTCTGTCGTCATGGTCGACGTCGTCATCGTTGTCCTCGTTGTCGTCTTCGTTCCTCCCCCCCCGCGCCAGCGCTGCGGCAGCCCCGGGGCCGCCAGCACCGGGCGGAGCCACCCCGGCCCCGAAGAAGAAGCCGAAGCCCGGGAGCGCCGAGGCGCTTCCCGCCTCTTGCCTGCCCCCGTCCCACCCCCTCCTCCTGCCTCGCCCATCGCTTCTCCGTTCGGTCGCAGCTCATGAGAGCCTTGCCTACGCTCCTCGCAGGCGATTTTTCTCCCCCAATCCCCGAGCTCCACCCGAAAAAATTGGCCGCTTATACAATGGGGGGAACCCTGGGGTACACCCCAAGGGGGCTCTTCGGATGCACTCCTATCGAGGATGGACGTCCTTCCATCTTGTATCCCAGGGTCGGGCCCCACATTTCTGGTCCACTCCAGAACACCACGAAGCCTGGGATAGGGGTCGACATATCCCCTGTCAGCTCCCCTCGTAGTTCCGCCTTCGGAGTGCATTAGTCTAGGACTCCTGCATGGAGTCCAGGTGGTTGGGGTCGGAGGATCGCGCCGCATCGCCGATGCATCGACGAGACGGCCCGACGTGGAGGCCAAAGTTCCCTTCGCCGACGTGGCGGATGCATCGCCGACGTCGCTGATGCATCGGCGATGTATCGCCGATGAATCGGCGATGCATTGGCGATGCGGCGCGATACTTCGACCCCATCTACTCACTCGGACCCTATCTAGGAGGCCTCTAATTAGCGTCGTTCAATGCCTGGTCGTCGATGGGATAGCGCCGATATGTCGTTGACTCGCATCGATTAGCGTCGACTAGCGTCGAGTAGTTCCGACTCGTGTCGACGGGCGTCGATTCGCACGAGCCTGCAGAACGGTAACTCAAGAACCCAACAGTCAAGAGGGATAACACACACATACATACATACATACATACATACATACATACATACATGCATACATACATAAATACACGCATGCATGCATACATTCACACATACATACATACACACGACACACATACCCTTGTTTGCCTTCAAAACGCCCTGGGCGTTTTTCTAAGCAATGTGTTTACCAAACATAGGGCTCTTGTCAGGCTGAAAACGGTACCAAAGACCGGATACGTGTTTGTTTCATTGTGTTCGAATAAGTTTGTGTTGCTTGTTTGGGCGTGTTGTTCGTGCGTTCAGGCTGCAAACGCTTAAGCAATGTCTAAGCAAACAGCGCACCATTATTTATCGTTTTGAGTTGTTTTGGGTGAGACCTGAAACCGCTAAACCAAACATGTCCACGGCGCCCAGCTGAAAACGCTAAGCAAACGCCCTGGGCATAGTTAAGGCGAACCAAGACACACACACACACACACACTCCCACGAACACATAGGACACTATGGGAATTGGGGGGGAAGACGTCAACCAAGGGAAATATTTGAACATGGGGACTCCTTGGATTTGTGTCTGTTTATTTGTGTGTCCCAGGGCCCCTTTAAACATCTCGGATGGCCTGAAATGGTCTTCAGCCCCCTGGAGCACCGAGTGGTGATTACGACGTGAGTCCGCCAACACATCACGTATTTGAGGCCGCAGCTTCACGCCGTACCGTAATGTTGAATCAGGCATGCCCCCCGACAGGAGGAATATTCAACATTACCCCAGTGCGACCCTACCTAGAAGTTGGAGCCCCTAGGGAAGCAGCATTTGTTGCTATGCTATGCTATGCCATGCCATGCTGCGTTATGCTAGGCTAGGCTAGGCTATGCTATGCTGCGTTATGTTATGCTATGATATGCTATGCTAAGCTGTGCTATGTTATGCTGCGCTATGCTATGCTAAGATATGCTATGCTATGCTATGCTAAGCTGCGCTATATTATGATATTATACGCTATGCCATGATATGCCATGCTATGCTATGCTGCGCTATGCTGCGCTATGCTCTGCTATGCTATACTATGCTTGGCTAAGTTATGATATGCTATGCTATGTTATTGCAGCGCTGCGCTATGCTAAGCTATGCTATGCTATGCTATGCTGGGCTATGCTATGATATGCTGTGCTGCGCTGTGCTGTGCTACGCTATGCTACGCTGTGCTCTGCTATGCTAATGCTCGGCGAAGCTAAGATGAAGGTAAGCTAAGCTAAAATAAGCCTGGGCTAATATGAAGCTAGGCTAAGCTATGATGAAATAAACTAAGCTAAGATGAGAGAAGCAACGCTAAGCTAAGGGAACGTCACTGGGGGAACCGCGGGGCGGATCCTGGGGGAACCGCCCGGGGCGGGCAACACTGCCCGGCCCTTTAAGCACACAGGGTAAGAACCCTTCTAGGCAGAGCCTAGGTAGGGAAAGATTAAAACATTACTCTGGGGAGAATTGGTTGATTATATTTGATTGATGCTGATTTTTTTGTGTTTCATTTTCTGTCTGAAAATCTCCTGTAGGAGGACATGCCGGACCTACCCCCCATGGGCACGGACGGGTTCCCCAGGGGAGCGCGCACGACTCTGGCGTCTGTTCCCCCCATCTTCCTCTCGGATGATGAGGGGGGATCGGGCGGGGCAGGACGGGGACAGAGTATCGGAAGCCGGGCAAGGGCTGAAAAATCCGTGGCTGCTAAAATCGACCTCCGAGAAGTTGCCTTCGTCCTTCCGGGAAGAAGCCCGTTGATCGTTTCGCGTGCCGCGCCTCATTCCGGGAAGTTGTTTTTTCCTTCTCAGAGGGCGGTTTTAGTAGCCACGGTTTTAGCAGCCCTCGCCCAGCTTTCGAGAGTACTCCAGCGCGCTCCAGAACGCTCTCCGAGCGTCCCGGGGCTCTCTGGTCGCTGTGCCCGACACATCCTCCAGAATCGCCTGAGCCCAGAGATCCCCGGTTCGATGCTGGTCCTTGTCCTGGCCTCGTCTCCATGGATGATGGTGATGAGGAGCAGGATTTTCCCATCGAGTACGATTGTGCAGGGCATCTTGTGAGCGGGGTGAATGGCTCTGGGCCTCCAGGATGGGGTCCGAGTGGATGGGGTCGGAGGATCGCGCCGCATCGCCGATGCATCGCCGATGCGGCTCGATGCGGAGCCAGATTTTCTCTACGCCGACGTCGCCGATGCGTTGCCGACGTCAGCGATGCATCGCCGATGTATCGTCGATGCGTCTCGATCCTCCGACCACATCTACTCGGATCCCATCTAGAAGGCCTCTAGCCCCGAAGCGCGAGAGCCTTGAGACGGCGGTCAATGCAAGCGGGGGTCAGCCAGAGCGCCAGATCTTGCAGTCGCATGCGATGCTTCTCCCCTAGCTCTTGAGTTTTTCGTAGAAGAGTGGAGCTGCTCAGATTAGGAGGGAAACCCTGGGATATACTCCAGGTGAGCCATTCGCACGCACCTCTATCGAGGATGGACGTCCACCCATCGCATATCCCAGGGTTGGGCCCTACATTTCTGGTCCACTCGAAAACCTTCCAAAGCCGGGGATAGGGTTCGACATCCCCTGTTATGCAGGATCCTGCAGGGCCAGGGTGGTTGCACTGACCCTGGGGGAAAAGAAGGCTCCTTCTCTTCAAAACTGTTTAGGCATGCCCAACAGTACCATGCCCCAAACTCGGAATGTGTTTCTGCAGCCGTACCTCTATATCCTCGCACGCTCCCGCATGCGCTGCGCCCTGCGCACTTTTGCTGGTAGAGGCCTCGCGTGCAGCGACGAGGTGGAGTAAGTACAAGTACTAAGGGCGCGGGCGCGGCCAGGACCTCAAGATTCGTTACAGCCTTACGCAAAACAATACGCACATACACACACACACACCCACACACGCAAGCCGAACTGGGCCTCCCAGCGCCAGATAAGGAATGCAGAGGCCCCAACTCCAGAGGCCGAAATCGAGACCACCCTCCAACACTGAACATATTCGTACGGTGGAGCCGGTGGGTCCACGTGGCGATGACGCGCCAGGGACGCCGCCGAAGGCTTCCAAGGCTGAATCCCGCACGACAGAACGACACGGAAGGACACGGACGGTAATGCCACATGACCCGACGGAATTCAACTTGGAACGATCGGGAACGCAGTCGGCTCCAGGCTGAAGGATCGACGTGGTGTCGAAGCCATTGTCGGGATCCCGCAAAGGGGGGGGGGCCAGGGGGGATGTGAGTTCGATCGGTTTTTGCACCGAACCGCCCAAAACAGATGCCCTCCAGCCGCCGCCAGCTCCCGACAGTTTTCGACAGGTGTTGCATGCGGAGGGTATCTGCTTGCGGCAGTTCGGTGCACCACCGGATCGAATTCATGCCCCCCCTCAGAGTCACCCGCCCATTTTGGTGGATCCCGACATTGGCGCGCGCCGACGCCGTGCGAACCTACCATATCGTCGGAGCTCCTGCTGTCTGTACCGCGCCCGTGCGCCCACTGTTTGGCCCAGAGTCCACCACCACTACCATATGTAGGAGAGGGAGGAGGAGGAGGAGGAGGAGGAGGAGGAGGAGGAGGAGGAGGAGGAGGAGGAGAAGGAGGAGAAGAAAAACCTCTTCATCCCCACTTCTCCCCAGTCCTATATGTGGTAGTGGTGGGGGACAAGTTGCCCACCACCCACAGCTCCCAAAACAGGGCGCGCCCTGCGGTGCCGCCCCCCCCCCCCCCCCCCCCCCGCGGAGAGGCCAAGGCGGCGGCGGCCAAGGCGGTAGCCGAGGCCAAGGCCAAAGCGAGGAAAGCCGCGGACGAGGAGGCCCGTCAGGGGCAACGCGAAGGGGGAGGAGGAGGAGGAAAAGGTTGAGGAGGAGGAGGAGGAGGAGGAGGAGAAGGAGCAGGAGGAGCAGGAGGAGGAGGAGGAGGAGGAGGACGAGGAGGAGCAGGAGAAGGAGGAGAAGGAGGAGGAGGAGGAGGAGGAGGAGGAGGGAGGGCGAGAGGGAGGGAGGGGCGAGGGAGGGAGGGATGGAGTGAGGGAGGGAGGGTGTGAGGGAGGGAGGCTGTGAGGGAGGGAGGAAGGAAGGAAGCAAGGAGTAGGAGCAGGAGTGGGAGGAGGAGGAAGGGGTGGCGGGGGGGGGGGAGGGAGGGGCAACGCTGCTGCTGCTCCGTACGCGCCTTCTCTCCCGCTCGTCCTGCTCTTGCCGCCTGCCCCAGGACCTCGGCCTCCCGCCTCCTGCGGCCGCTCCTTCCGCTTCTTCTCCTCCTGCCCCTTCTCCTCATCCTCCCCCTCCTTCTCCCCCTCCTCCTCCTCCTCGTCCTTTTCCTCCTGCTCCTCCTCCTCCTCTCCTCCTCCTCCTCTGCCCCTTCTCCTCATCCTCATCCTCCCCCTCCTCCTCCTCCTCCTCCTCCTCCTCATCCTCCGCCTCCTCCTCCTCGTCATCCTTCTTGACGGGCTCCGTGTGCTCCCCGTCACCGTCATCCTTCTCGCCCCATGCTCCGGATGCTGGTCCTCACGCCCCCTCCCGTCACCTGTGGCCCGTTAGCCTTGCCCTGCTGGAGAAATTGGCCCTCTCCTCCTGGCCGCCCCTCCCTGCTCGTCCTGGAGTTGCCCCTCCTCCTTGCCCGCACTGCGTCCTCCTTCCTCTTGCCCTCGCCCTCGAGAACGCCCCCCAGTCGCAGCCCCCTCGAAGCGTCCTGCCGCCGGTCTCTTGCTCTTCCTTGCGGAAGCCCTGCAGCCATGACGCTGAAATTGGGAGGAGGAGGAGGAGGAGGAGGAGGAGGAGGAGGAGAAGGAGGAAGACCGGCTGCGTTCGGAGAACTCCACTGCCGTCATTGCCACATTGCCTCAGGAGGAGAAGGACAAGGGGGAGGGGCAGGAGGAGGAGCAGGAGGAGGAGAAGGAGCAGAAGTAGGAGGAGGAGGTTGAGGAGGAGGTTGAGGAAGAGGTTGAGGAGGAGGTTGAGGAGGAGGAGGAGGAGGAGGAGGATGAGCAGGAGGAGCAGGATGAAGAGGAAGAGGAAGAGGAGGAGGACGAGGAGGAGGAGGAGGAGGTGGAGGAGGAGGAGGAGGATGAGGAGGAGGAGGAGGAGGAGGAAGACCGGCTGCGTTCGGAGAACTCCACTGCCGTCATTGCCACATTGCCTCAGGAGGAGAAGGACAAGGGGGAGGGGCAGGAGGAGGAGCAGGAGGAGGAGAAGGAGCAGAAGTGGGAGGAGGAGTTTTAGGAGGAGGTTGAGGAGGAGGTTGAGGAGGAGGTTGAGGAGGAGGAGGAGGAGAAGGAGCAGGAGGAGCAGGATGAAGAGGAAGAGGAAGAGGAGCATGAGGAGGAGGAGGAGGAGGAGGAGGAGGAGGAGGAGGAGGAGGAGGAGGAGGAGGAGAGGGAGATCCTCGAGAATGGCACCTCGGGGGGGCCCAGCTCCTCTGCCCACGAGGCGTCCGGCTCCGCTCTTCTTGCTTGCCACGGGGGCGCGGTCGGAGCGGTACAATGGTTAACTCGGGCATGTCCCTCTGCAGGAGCAGTACATAATAATAATCAACACATAGCATGGGGATAATGTGTTTGACATTACTTTCGGATATGTTTGAAGCATTCAATAATTCGCCTGGCGAAGGACCCAACCATATTCAGCAGTATGTACCACGATCGCGTGTATAATCGTTGGTGGGGTTTCTTATGGGGGGGCGCGACATGTGTGAGGGTGTATCCCTCTTTCGGCCACGAGGCTGTGCCTGCTTTGCAGTACGCCATGCAGGGATCCGCAGCTCCGCAGGTCGCTCCACCCAGGTGGAGTTCCCCGTGGAGCCGCGAAACGCTGTCCTGGGTGGGGGAGACGCATGCGAACACCGCCACTGGGGCCTTAGGTGAAGCTCCCTGTGGGACGACGAAGCGCTGTTCTGGGTGGGCGAGACGCATGCGAACACCGCCACGGGGGCCTTAAATGGAGCTCCCTGTGGGGCCACGAAGCGCTGTCCTCGGTGGGGGGGGCGGATGCGAACACTGCCACTAGGGCCTGAGGTGGAGCACTTGTGGACCCTCGGAACGCTGTGCTGGGCGGGGGGGGGGGTCTCAGGCGAACACCGCCACGGGGGCCTTGGGTGGAACCCCCTGTGGGGCCACGAAACGTTGCCCTGTGTGGGGGGAACGCAAGCGAACACCCCCACAGGGACCTTAACACGAAACGCTGTCCTGGGTGGGGGAGACGCATGCGACCACTGTCAGTGGGACCTGAGGTGGAGCTCCCTGTGGGGCCACGGAACGCTGTCCTTGGTGGGGGAGGCGCATGCGAACACCGCCATGTGGGCCTTAGGTGGAGCTCGATGTGGGGCCGCGAAACGCTGCCCTCGGTGGGGGAGACGCATGCGAACACCGCCACTGGGACCTTGGGTGGAGCTCCTTGTGGGGCCGCGGATCGCTGTGCTGGGTGGGGGAGACGCATGCGACCACCGCCGCTGGGGCAGTAGGTGGAGCTCTCTGTGGGGCCACGAAGCATTGCCCTGGGTGGGGGAAACGCATGCGAACATCGCCACAAGGACCTTAGGTGGAGCTCGATGTGGGGCCGCGAGACGCTGTTCTGGATGGCGAAGACGCGTTCGAACAACGCCACTGGGACGGGCCATGCAACGCTGTCTGGGTGGGGGAGACGCATGCGAACACCGCCACTTGGACCTGAAGTTGAGCTCCCTGTGGGGCCACGAAACGCTGTCCTGGATAAGGAGACGCATACGAACACCGCCACTGGGACCTTAAGTGGAGCTCCCTATGGGGCCACGAAGCGCCGTACTGAATGGGGGAGGCGCGTGCGAACACCGCCACTTGGCCCATAGGTGGAGCTCCCTATGGCGCCAGCGAAACGCTGCCCTGGGTGGGGGAGGCGTATGCGAACACCGCCACTCGGGCCTCAGGTGGAGCTCCCTGTGGGGCCACGAAGCGCTGTCCTGGGCGGGGGAGACGCATGCGAACACCGCCATTGAGGCCTTCGATGGAGCTCCCTGTGGGGCCACGAAACGTTTAGAGGGGTGGCGAAATTAGTGGCCATGATGGTGACGATAACGGTGGTGATCATGACGCCGATGATGATGAAGATGTTGATGACGACGACATGGCGATGACGATGCTGATGATGATGCTGATGATGATGATGCTGATGATGATGATGAGAAGGATGATGATGATACTGGTGGTTATGATGATGATGATGATGATGATGATGATGATGATGATGATGATGATGATGCTGATGATGATGATGATGATGATGATGGTGGTGGTGGTGGTGGTGGTGATGATGCTGATGCTGATTATGATGCTGTTGCTGATGCTGATCATAATGATGATGCTGGTAATGCTGTTGATGATGCTGATGATGATGATGATGATGATGATCATGATGATGATGATGATGATGATGATGATGATGATGACGACGTGGACGACGAAGACATGCGAAGGGCAGAGGCAGGGATGGGAGGAGGGAGGAGGGGGAGGAGGAAGGAAGGACAGCTAAACAGGAAGGAACGCGGTGCGCTGTCTCTTCAAAACGATAACCCAA